GGTGAGGCCCTGCCTCCCCTGCCTCCCCTGACTGCACACCACTGGTCTGCAGATATATGATAAAGATACATTGTGAGCTGCAAAAGGGTGTAGCTCCAAAATGCGTGTCTATATTATTCATATATTGCCTTCAAATCAAATAACTGATACAACACAGAAATTGTACTGTTTTCTGTAATTGTGTGTAGCAAAGTGTCTATTGATTACAGTGAAACTTACATCAAAATAAGAATACTTATTTTAGACTATTTTAGAATAGTTTAGACCATTCTCACTCAGAAATGTACTTCATTGGAAAGAATGCCTGAATTGCAGGGTAGAGTTTTCCTGCAATACTTTTGTGCAGTATAAATATGTAGCTGATCGCAAACTGTTCCATTTCTATGGCACAGAAATGTTGGGTTCTTTTCTCTTGCAACTACTAAATGTTATCACTCAGGTTTTTAAAACATTTTATTAGAAATGCTTAGCTATTTCCACTACCCAGCTCTTCAAAAAGATTTATGAGGCCAAACAATAATAATAATCTTCATTGCCATCAACCTCAAAAATAAATAGACACTAAGGTGGAAGAAAGGAGCAATAATCCATTGTAAAGCTACATTTCCAGCTAAGGAGTTTTGGAAGCAGTATGAAGAAAGAAAGGATGCAGCTGGGAAAACAGATTATTCTGCACTGCTTTGAGATAAAAGACATAGATTTGCTGCACTTTCAGATATGCTACAGCTGAACTAACAATACACTAATATACTGTAGCTACTGTTCTAAATCTGATCTTCGTAGTACCTCTTCATTAATGATATGGCCACTGTACTGTATATCTGGAGGATTCTCCTCAAGCAGCGTTGTTGGAAAACATGTAACCTTTTAATCATCTTGGTTGTACACTTCCATGTTTCATCAGCATACATTGCAATTGGTATAACAATACTCTTGAAGATTTTTACCTTTGTTGTAATACTTATAGCGGCTGTAGACCAAATTGGGCACATGCATTGAAACATGGTCACTGCCATTCCAATTTGATGGTTAATGTCATTATCTGTACCTTCATTAATAGACCTAGTGCTACCAAAGTAAGTAAATTGTTGGACTTGTTCTATAGCCCAACCATTGACTGTTATAGGCATATTATCCTGAGCACTACTGACTTAATAACTTTTCAAAATTTATACATAAGCCAATTTTTGGCCTCATTATCTAAGCTGATGATCATTTCTTGCAAGCACCTCTTTGTTTCACCAAGCAGTGCAATGTCATCCGCAAAATCTAAATCTGTTACACTATTGTCCGTGGGATGCCAAAGTTAGGGTAATCTACAAATATCAGATTTAGAACACCTATTGGGAATTGGGAATGGACATCGAATGTGGCTTGCTGGCCATATGTTACATATTCCCAAAGACTGCATAATATGCTGGATACCTCCTGGAGAAAACAGGAATTGAGGACAGCCTCAGAAAACTTGGGGCCCAACACTTAAAGAAAATCCTAAAATTATTAAAGTCCTTTGGGACGATGCTATGAATGATCAAAACCACTGGAAAAAATTTGTTGCCCAATGTGCTCTGCATAGGACCTAATGATGATGATAGGCAAAGTTGTGAGAACTGGCTGGTTCTAATTCGAAACTGCAGCAAAGCCCCCAAAGTTAAGCTGATTAAAAAATAATAATAATAATTTTTATAACACTACAATACAATTATCAGACTTGAACATTCTGATTCTACAAAAAACCACCCTACTTGGAACAGTTTATATCCTCCGACGTTACCTTAACAGT